TTAGGGTTTGGGGGTTTAGAGTTTTGTCTTTGAACGTTCCTTGTAAGGAGTTTCCTGAAAGATCTTATCGAAAGTCTACGAAGGTGCTATGAAGGCTTCAAAAATGGTGCTTGAGGTTTCAAAACATCCGGTAGCTTTAAATCCTCAACCCTCACAACCCCAGATACTTTGACGAGAAGACTGCAAACCTCGAGCCGAGAATAGCGAAAATGCTGACTGCGCCGAGGTGTCTGTGCACCTGGAACAGTATCTCTTGTTCTTGTTTCATTATCCTTCATATCAGCGCTCATGACAAGTAGCAATGGTCGTATATGCCGGCTCTTGTAAGTAGAGTCGAGTAGAACTTGAAATCATCACCGCTACCATTATTCTTTATGAAGCACCGAATGCTGCGGCCAGGCAGAGCGAGAAGCTTATGCCCAGGCCAAGGAGAAGGCAACTAGCTCGGCCATCAACTTGGCAACCAAGGCTGCTTGGACTACAAAACCTTGAGTCCGAGACAAGGCTAATGAAGAGACTGAGCCGCAACTATGTCAGAAGAGTCAGAACCCTGCAAATAAAGCATCATCAAGAAACCCTTCTTACAACCTAACCCTAAAGCCCAAACCCAGCCTCCCTTGTACAACCCTGGGCATGTATGCGCTGCACACTGCATAACTCCAGAAGAATTAAAAATGCCCACGCACAGCTTGAAGCAAACCTACATAAAACCCAGCCAGAATCCTTCTGTTACGATATCAAAGCTGGTAGTATAAGCCCCACCCAAACCTGCAAAGGCCCAATATAAGGCCCTTCACCCCAATCCCTAAACCCCTAAACCCCTAAACCCTACAAAAAAAAGGCTTTACAACAGCAAAGTACAAAAAGCCCTCCGCCGAGGCAGCGAAAGATCGGATCGACTCCGACATCGAGGCTCAGGTGGCGAAGTACACCGAGGCCCCCTTGAGGATTCCTTTGAGGGTTCTATCAAGGCTCCGCCAAAGGGTCCTTATGGAGACGGGAGTTTAGGGTTTAGGGGTTTAGGGTTTAGGGTTTAGGGTCGTTCCTATAACTTTAAGGGTTCTCTTCAGGGTTCCTTAGAAGGGGTGCGTCTTGTCAAGGGTGCTTGTTGAGGGTTCCTTCCAAGGGTCTCCTTAAAGGGTTCTTGGAAGAGTCCAGCGTTCGCGATGATGGCTTCGAAGCGGCCTAGCCGAGGCGTAGAGAGCTCCTTGGTGCGTTTCTAGGGGTGCAGAACACCAACTAAGTCCTAGGGTCCTAGACTCAGGCTCGCCTCCAACTATACATCTTCAACATCTACATCTTGAAGAGATCTCTCAACATCTTCGAGCCTCTGAGGGCTCGGGGCCCAATCTCTCTAAGGATATGAGAGGAATAGCAAGAGTGGCCCATGGGCTTTTGGAGGTGTCGGGCGCCGAATTCAGGCTTCGAGACTTGCATGACGGAAAGGCTCATGCTGCCCGTTGGGCTCGCAGTTTTTGTTGCCGTTCAGGAGCACCGATCGAAGCTTGAGAAGATCGCGCTGGAAGACGCCATGAACAGCACTGTGGGAGTCAAGAAGATGCTGCAGGCGGGACAGACCCTTCTACTTGCGGTCCTCATCGGCCGTCATCGTCATAATCATCGCCGTCTTCATCATCATCATCATCATCATCATCATCATCATCCTCATCACCCTCATCACCCTCATCCTCATCATCCTCATCCCCATCCCCATCCTCATCATCATCGTCATCGTGATCGCCCCCATTCTATCTTGATGATCATCATGAGCAGCAATCCTGTGAGAAGTCCTTCTTGCCTTCTCCGTCGTGTTTCGTGCTCTTCTGACTCGCCTCATGGTGTGTTTGCCTGTGTGCTTCCTGCTCTTCCCACGGCGATCGTTCTACATTCAGCACTGCTCTCAAAGCTCTTGTTCGAATGCTGCAGCTTGCAGCTATCGTTGTGAACATGTTAACATGAGTGTCATCCATCGTCGTTGTGGTTCTTATTAACTAAACGCCACTGTCTGTCCCAACGCGCGGGAGGGTTCCAGCACCTGTGGTGCCTTGCGCAAAAATGAATCGCGGTGTCATCTCGTCGGGTCCGTCGGGAGTTGGGGTCGGAGCGTGAGCTGTGAGGACAGGAGCGACTTAGTAAGACAACTGACCCTTATGCTGCACTCCCTTACTGCAGCCTTTCTGAGACAGAAGTCACCCGATGCTGTGGGGAGAGATGCAGAGGTGCAGAAATCCAGGTGAACTTGAGGCATGCTGTGGGGCCGTAAGAAGTCGAAACCCGAAGCCTGCGGCACCCAGAAACCCAGGAGGCCAAGACCCAAAACCCTCAAGCCTTAAACCCCTACACCATAACGGTTTAGGGTTTAGGATTTAGGGTTTAGGGTTTAGGGTTTAGGGACCATAACGAAATTTGAAAACAACCCCAACCGCTCCCTTCCACCTCCCCTCCAATCCCCCGCTGGAAATGTTTCCAGGAGGCCGCAGTGAAGGAAGCCATGGCGCAGGCAGTGGACAAGGCTCAAACCTGATGGGAGGTTTAGGGCTTTCCCAAAGGATTTAGGGTTTAGGGTTGAGGGTTTGGGGGCTTAGGGTT